TTCAAGTATTTTATTTCTGGTAATAGTAAGACAAGTCGTTCCCAAGGGCTTCTTATCTCCTGAGGTTTAGCAGACTATATAGTGTAACAAGTGTCATTTAGCTCGCCTATCAAACTCTTCTTATAATGAAACCTCACTTTGTCATACGGTCCAGAGTAATGCAGTTGTTATTGTCCAACATTAGAATATATTTAGATTGCAATGATAATGAGAATAAATGATAAAGAAAATATAATTTTCTCATAGAGAGTATTAAAAATAGAGGTGGTTCCCTAAATACGCATTTTTTTTTTTTTTTTGGTGGGACCCTCACCGGCGCCTGGGGAATGAACCAGTGCTGCAGAGGCTGAGGACAGCCTCGCAGCCCAGCGCTCAACTGCTACGCCACCAGGGGAGGCCCAAATACACATTTTTATAACACTAATGAAGGAATCTTTTTTATTTACCCATCAATTATATTTTGAACACCTTTTGTACTTGGGAATCTGAAAGAGGAATCCACATTAGGCCCTAAAAACATTACATTCTAGTGGGCAGAGTATTACCCAACAACTCCTCAAGAAATTGTTGAATGACTAAGCATGAGGAGTTGTGTGTGCTCAGAGTTGGAGCACATCACTGCTCTCCATAGTGAGAAAGACATTCTTTATGTATGGGTAGAATTTACTGATTTATTTATAGAATTTAAACATACATTAGAGGTAGGAAGAATTAACTGAAGGTAAGAGGATACAAAGAGATATTAAATATATTGATATGATCATCACCACTGGGTCCTACATCCCCCATCTAAGCACTAATCAGTCCAGATGCTGCTTAGCATCTGTAGTCAGACCTGATAGTGCATGTTCAAGGTGTTTTGGCTGCAGACCAGATATATCTATCAGTCAGAACAGCTTTTTTCTTTCCTGTATGGAAAATAGTGGGTGACACAGAAATGATGAATTATAGAGTCAGGCGAGGTAGTGCAAGTCATGGATATTTAGGGGGACGGTATCATTTTTGCTTCATTTATTTTCTGTCTTTCAAACTCTTGTTAAGCCATGGCCTTTAGTTGGTGTGTTTCTTTAGGTGGGAAAGAAACACAGGTCCACACTCTGCCTCCTTGCACTGTTGTTCTCAGTATATTAATACTAGTGAGGGTTGCTGTTCCATGTGATCTGCATCCTGTGCCAGCTCCCACCAGGCACCCTGGCCTTTGTTCCTTTTCCATCTAGCCATGGGACTTTAACCTTAATGGAGCCCAGGATCTGTGCAGAAAGGACATGTGGCTTAAGTGTGTTCCCTGGGTGGTAGTTCTCCAGAAATCTATCCAATAAATCCTAATGTACGCCAGTATTGTAAATAAATTTCTACTAAAATTAATAATTTCTGTTTTAGATATTTGAATAGTGTGAGTAGGCAAAGGGACATGACTCAGAGTAAAATGTCTAAGAGCTTCATGCTCTTAGATTTCAAATCTCTATGAGAATGGACAAGCTTATCGTACCAGGTTAAATTGATCAAATCAAATTTTTCATTTCTCTCCACTTGAATCCCTCAAGAATTCCTGGCCTTGATGATACAGAGACTTGAACATGGTCCTGATGATCTCACATGCCATGTCCAGGGTGGGTCTGTTCTGTCCCTCTGTCCATAGCCATCCCCACAACAATGGGGAAGAAAAGGTGAAAGGTGTTGATATGTGTTGTGTGCTGACCTAGGCACTGTGTGAACTTGATCCCAGTTCCCAGTAGAAAGTACTCAGCAAAGAGAACACTTAGCTCCATTTTCCTTGTGAGACTAATGGATTTAGGAGTGATGATGACATTTGCTCAAAGTCACACATCTGCTAAGATGCAGAGTTGGGAAAGAAATCCAGAGATGCTTCATACCAGCGTCCATGCTTTTTTGCCCAAAGAGGAAAGAATGTAGGATGATGGCAGTTTACATTGAGAGTCATAAAGTGAGTTTTTAGGGTCCTCCTATGTGATCTGATACACATCACTAAATATGGGAGCAAACACAGATTCTGGGAGTGGAGTCAGCCCAGTCATAAAGCCAGTGCTCTGGCTAATGTAATACCTGCTAGTCTTTTATCTCTGACCACTGCAAAAATTATGTGATTCAAAATTTCACATAGATATTCAGGTGATTCTTGAAGGAAGCCCCAGAAGTAAAGACACCTTAGATTCAGAGCTCCATACTAGTAGGTTCCTGCACACAGTGGAAGAGGGTAAGAGGACAAGGAAAACAACCATGACTATGTCCCATACCATGTCCCGCTGTCAGCACTATCACTGAAAGTGACTCTTAACTGTTATTGTGCTGAGAAATTACCTGGGGGCCTGGTAAAAGTGGGATCCACCCTCTGAAGTTCTGATTCTGAAAGTCTAGGGTTGGATAAAGGGATCTTTAATTTCAGAAGCATTCCAGACAGGCACATAATCACAATGCTCGGGCTAAAGGGTAGCAAAATGCCCTTACCCAGTTCTGCACATCAGGGAACTCATCCTGAAGGCCCGCACCTCGGGACACATCCTGCTGAAGGTGGGAGCAGAGAAGCCAGTGGCCTGAAGTGGCATGTGAGGGGCAGCAAAGCAAGGACCATGCACTTGTGCTGTGTAGATACTGTGCGATAACACCCCCTTTACAACTTTCACCAAGACCCAACTGTGAAGGGGAATGCCCACTTCTCTCTATGCCCAGGGCTCACACAGACCCTTGGTGCCATTCCCTTCAGCCAGATGTCAGGCATGACTATTTCAGCTTGGACAGGAATCAGACTACTCAGGTCTCAGGTAGCTTAAATCTTTATATCCTAAATATTCATCTTATATCATTTTATATCTTTCTAGCATATCTTTTTGTAAGTTAAAATATTTATGTCTCCAAAAAACCTCTCCTACTTTCTATTCGCCATCATTTTACTGAAAATCCCATAATCACCAATAACATCCTTATTGTCAAAGTAAGTGACATATGTGCAACTGCCTAACTTGTTTTCTCTGTAGCTCAGTTGCTCAATCTCTCTTCAAAACTCTAGCCTCTTTTTATTTCCTCAGCAACAAGTTTTTAAAAATATTTTTTCCTTTTTTTTTTTTGATTGAGGCATCATTTGTTTATAACATTGTAAATGATTCAAGGGAGTATATTCTCACCTCCCCAGGTGCATGTCACCAAACATTTGCATTTTTTACCTTCTCATTATTTCTTTGCTTTTTCTCATAATGTTGGTGTTCTCCAGAATTTCCTTCCCTTTTCTGGTCACGTTCTATGCAATATAGTGATTGATGATACACACACCAGTGTTTCAACTAGCTCTCTTGCTGACACCCTAATCTGTATTCAAGTTCCAGAAACAAATCCTGCCTATTGTTGTCCTGCAGATACCTTAAACCTAACCCAGAGTGGTCTTTACCAACTTTTTCCTTTTCGGGTTTGTGCTTCCTCCCATAATTTACATTTTATAATGGCCTCATTGACTACTGTCCTTCCTACCTGGAAATTTGGTTTCATCTTTGTCTTGCATTTTAGTAATTTCTCACATCCTCTAAGTTTCTCTAATCTGACTACACCTTTATATCTTTACTATCATTATATGTTAAAACTGGTCTCACTCATAGCAGGAATTTTAGAAAACCTAAATAAGAGACCAGGAAAAAGACTAATTATAATAAAGTAAAAATCAAAATCAACAAGCAAGGGGGCTCCCTGGTGGCGCAAGGGTTTAAGCACTGCACTATGAAGCAATCCGCAGCCTCTGCAGCGCAAGTTCGAGCCCCAGCCCACCAGTGAAAAACCCACATGGGGAAGCAGACCTTTCCTGTCTTGCCCGCTGCTCTCCTTAGCAGTGTATTTCAGTCAGTCTGTCTGTTCTGTTCCCCACTCTGTCTCTGGTGGATCCTCTCACCCCCTGCATCTCTGGCCTGTGTCCCAGCTCTTATATGCATAAATAAATAAATATTTAAAAAAATTAACAAGCAACTATAAACCAGAGACTTGAATATTTTAACCAAGGAATTCTATCTCTATGGATCTAGCACAGAAATAAAAGCATCCATATGGAGTAGTGCAATAATATAAGCTGGTGGCTGGCTGGCTGGGTCTCCTGGGAGGGCATGAGACACTGGGCTGCTCTAGCACTTCCCTGGCACAAATCTTGGACCTTGAAACTACGGGCAACATCCTAAATTTTGAATGCTCATTCACTTTCGTGATGCCACTTATCTGACTACTCATGTCAATGGTCTTCAATTCCTTCTTCTTTTCACTGGTTCTTTCTTTTTTTTTTTAAATAATAAATTTTATTTTTATATTCCCCATACAATTGCAACCCCCCCATTCTGACCCCAATCCCTCCCCTCCCGCCCCCCACCTCCCAAAAAGTGTCTCTGGTTCATAGTTTTTTGTTGATTTTGATTTTCACTTTCTTATAGTTATTCATTTTCCTGGTCCCTTATTTAAGTTTTCTAGATTCCTGCTATGAGTGAGACCATCTGGTATTTTTCTTTTTCTTTCTGGCTTATTTCACTGAGCATGATCCCTTCCAGCTCCATCCATGTTGCTGCAAATTGCATGTGTTTATCTTTTTTGAATGCTGAGTAATATTCCATGGTATATATGTACCACATCTTCTTGATCCAGTCATCTGTTTTTGGGCATTTGGGCTGTTTCCAAAGCTTAGCTATTATAAATAGTGCTGCTATAAACATAGGGGTGCAGGTGTTCTTTGGAATGGATGTTTCTGTGTCCTTTGGGTAAATACCTAGGAGTGGAATTGCTGGATCATATGGAAGCTCTATGTTTAGTAGGTCCAGAATTGGAACACATAATTCTAAAGTAACATGGGACCTCCTTAGTCATGCATATCTGAGTCATTTCAAGGTCTCTATGTATGATTCCATAACTAGAGATTCTTTCTGTGAAATTACATCTCCTTCTATATCTGGTAGCACACTCAGGAACGTTGGTCCTTCCACTGCACTTGCTACAGGTCAAGGGTCAGACCAATAGAAGATTCCATGACAGTTAGCAATCCTGACAGCAGACTGGCCCAGTTATAGGAGTAGTGAAGGGTGAATTTATTTTCTCTGTTCCATCGTCTATTTCAGCATCTGCCACAGCCACTGCCACAACAACCACTAAAAGTCTACATCTTGGCTTTCTTGTGAGGACTAAAATCAGAGAAGAGACGTGAGATATTGATGGTAGTCTTGGCTTGTAGTCCCCACTCACAATGCTGCATATATCAACCAGAAAGATCCAGGCGACCAACATGTTCTTCTCCTCGTGGGGCTTAGTCTTCTTGACAGTAGGAATCCCTGTGGAAGAATGGGTCAGATTGAAATTGAAAACACAAAAATATATAAGTCACAATCCTTGGATATGTTGCACTACGGTTTGGCCAGAAGGTCAGAATTATACTAAGGAAAGAGATGGGTCCAAAGGGAGGGTTCATCTTTCCTTGACTTTCACTTGTCTCACCAGCTTATCTGTGATTCTCCAGGTAACCTCCTCAGGTTGCAGAGTGTCCACTTCCAGTGAGTTCCTTGAAGAGTATAGAAGAAAGGGAAACTTACTGAGATAGAAGCTAGAGAATAGTTTCTTCTGCTTCTCTTTCCTATGCAGTTAAGGCTCCCTGACTCTTTAATATTCTCTTCCATTTTTATTATTTAATCCTATCTTGCACCGCTCCTCCTGCCCCCGTCCCCACTTAGCCATCGGTGGCTCCTGTGTGGAAATGAGCCTAGAAGAAATATCTGTCCTTCTCTCAATTAAGATTCTCCTTTCCAACAGATAAACTGGAAGTGGTCAGGATCATGATGATGTTGGTCCTCAGCCTTTCCTTCCTCCATAACTTGTTCCTGGGCTTGGAATATACCTATATGATTCCTCGCATGAAATACATCCACTTCATCCCTGTCATCCTCAGTTTCCTCACAGGTAATTTTGTGGCTCTCCTAAAACAGGCTTGGTGGTGTCCTTGATTTGTGGGTCCAGGCTGCATTCTCTCACACGGCCTTCCCAGTTCTGTGGCTCAGGTATGCAGCTTCATTGACACGTTCCCACTGGAGTGGAGTTTGTCTTTGTCTAAGACACAGTGGTACAGGGTGGAGGCATGGCAGTCAGGCGTATCTTGGGTTAATACTTGAGTGAACGAGCTAAATTCCTCAGCAAAGACTTTTCTCCTTTTGTCTGGACATCAGGTATCCTTCTATTCTCTGCACTCCTTCTGTATCACCAAAAGCTAAGACAAGGTCAAGCCGTGTACTACACTAGTTACAAGATCACCTGGATCACTTTCATTGCCTACTTAAATGTTTTCTGCTTTATTGCCTCTGGTGAGTCTCCAGGGCCCTTGAGAGTAGAGAGAAAGCATGGGAAAGAAGGGTGGGTGGGAGAAGTTCCATCCCTGCACTTTCAGTCACTAAAGTTCAAGGAGACTCAGCCTTCAAGGACATTCCTACAAGGACAGAGTTGGAGGTTGGGACTGTGTATGAAATGGCCAGGATGCTGCCTTGCAAGGTGACTCCTCATTTCCACCTTTTCTAATGCCTTTGAGCTAGTCTCTACTTTGGGCACAGATGACCAGCAAAGTCACGACTGGGAAGAGTGACTGAGGTGGAATGCTCACTTGTGTGGAGCAGCACAGTGACCCTCGGTATACTGTTCAGGCAATATGTGGTCAAAGAGGCTACATCTGATGCTGAATGTCCACCCATCAACACTGGGCACCCTCCTTTACTAAGACTATAATTTCATTTGAAATTGCTCTAAGTCAGAATTATGTCCACTTTTAAACAGAATCCTTAATTTAATTGAATGGTGTAGCATTTAAGCAATTCTGCATACACTCCCAGACTTTTACACTAAAGACTGCTTCATGGCTTGGGGCAGTTTGTAGGGATCCCTGGGGCTGTGGGTTAGGGTCTCTTTGCCAAAACATAGGGAAATGTGATTTTTTCATTGATCCTTCATTGCACTCCCTGGCTTCTCTTTTCCCTAGGAATCCTTTCTCTTGTAGCACAGTCCCATTTGTGTTCCTGTCTGAACATCATCCATATATGTCCTGTAGAAAGTCTGGATACAGAGCCATCTGAGATTTCTGTGAAACCTATTTCATTATCAGAATGCACTGCAATGCCTCGTAGTATTGTCCGTTCTAGCTACAGGGAAGATTCTCTAAGCAAACCACACATCCAAACACATCATGTAACCTGGGCTCTATGACCTGACCTGCTCATCTTAATGAAAATAGCTTTGTGTATGTGTACTATATGTATCACCCACTGTGTTGTTTCTGTTTGGCATATGTAAATTAACTGTGACTGGGATGGGGTCTGAAGAAGATCCAGAAGATAGCATTTTTATTTTTGTCCTGGCCTGCTAAACAAATAGTTTCTTTTACAACATCTATTATTAATGTAATAAATATTGTCATATAATGATTACTTGCTGTATTGTTAACTTTGTATGTCCCAAAGATTTAGAATAATATATAATAGCTTTTGTTTATGTTTTATTGTGAAAAGTTTCAAATATTCAGAAAGAATACAAAACAATATGATAAACACCTGTGTACACATCACCCAACTTGATGAAATTTGATCATCATGCCCTATTTGCTTGAGATATTTTAAAATTAAATTTAGAGACATAACTGGTGCTCTGCTAAAAACTTTCCTAATCTTATTTTCCTACCTGTTTTATCATCAGAATATACTTTTGATGATGCATTGCTGATCATTTTCCATAGTGATTTTTTACTATACATGTATACTTTTTTACTATACATGTATACTATATGTTTATAAAAATTACATCAATTATACATCAATTAGCTTTTCATCAGTCAAAGATTATTAAATATCAGAATGTACAAATCATTTTTTGCAACCCACTTTGCTCATTCAATTCTATGATTAATATTTTGTTTTACTTCATTAAAACTACTATTAAGCTTTTCATACTGGAGATATAATGAAAATATTTATTCTCCAGTAGATGGAAATGTAATTATTTCCTTTTATTCTGTTATAAACAATATGAACATTCTTACACACAGCTTTCCCTCTTCCCATGAGATAGTTTCTCTAGGGTATTTGTCTGGGACTCAAGTGGATCAGAAAGCATATTCATTTTGAAATTACCTTTATATTGACAAAATTATCTAAACTGTGGTTGGACCAATTTATGCTTCTGCCAGTAGTGGATGAGAGTTCCAGTTTAAGATATGCCAACTCTTGTACCATCAGTCTTTAATTTCTGATTATTTGAACTCTCATCGAGTTTGTGCACAGTCATTTCATTGTTGAGTTTTTGAATTTCCTATTCTGTGAATTAATGTTTGACCCTTTTTTCCTAACAGATTATTTTTCTATTTCTTACAGATTTCTAGTTATTTTATATTGGAAACTAATAGTAATTGGTTGTGCCTTAGCTTTTGACTTTGTTTATGATGCCTTTTTTTTTTAAATAGAGGTATTCAAATTCAATGTAACTCAGTTTATCAATATTTTTCCTTTCAATTGGTGTTTTATTGTGTCTTATTTAAGAATCACTTTCCTAATCTTTTTTCCCCAAATGGAAATAATTTTTGTGAATTATATAAGGCTTAGATCCAGTTTTATGTACTTTATGTGGATAACTATTTATTGAGAATATTTTCTGGCTTGATGCCTTTTCTTATTGATTTGTATTAAAACCTTTACCACATGTGAGTGACTTTCTGATCTTTGGTATATCCCATTGATCTATTTTTTCCCTGCACCATACTAAAATCACAATTATTTTGTAGTAAAAAAGTTTTACTGTTTAATAGATCCAATACTTTATTCAAAATTATCTTGATTTATTCTTGACATTTTGTTCTCCAAATAAATAGCAGAATTAGCTTGTATTGTTGTACAACTCCCAATTAAATTTTTTTCAGAATTGCATTATTTATTTATTTATAAATTTTTACATCATTGTTCATTTTTGAACAGTGTTTGATTTCTCCTCTCAGGTGTTGTCCCCATAAAATTACCACCACCAAGATACCTGAGAACCATCACCATAGACTCTTATGCTCTTCCCTTTCATTTTGATCCCTTTCCCTCCCCCTCCACTGATGAATGTCTCCAATTTATAGTTTGACTACTAGTTTTGTCTTTTTTTCCCCTTGATTCCTTGTGCGGTTTCCCTATGTTCCTACTATAAGTGAACCCACCCGATATTTTTCTTTTTCCTTTTGACTTATTTAACTGATCATAACCCCTTCCAGGCCCATCCATGTTGCTGTGAATGGCATGAGTTTATCTTTTTTGATTTCTGAGTAGTATTCCATTCTGTACATATACCATATCTTCGCGAGCCATTCATCTATTTTGGGGCTTTAAGTTTGTTTCCATATTTTGGCTATTTTAAATAGTGCTGCGATGAACATAGGAGTACAAAGGATAGTTATCCTTTTGAATTAATGTTTTGGTGTCCTTTGGGTAGATTCCTAGGAGTGGAATTGCTGGGTCATATGGTAGATTCATTTTTAGCAATTTGAGGGTCCTCCTCACAGCTTTCCATAGTGGTTGGGCCAGTTTGCATTCAGAATTGCTTTAATTTATTAACTAATTTTGGGAGAGTCTATATATTTATCCAACCCACAATATGATGATATTTATTTAGGTTTTCTTCAGTGACGTTTTGTGATCTATGCCCCAGAGAGGTCTTTTGTTAGGTTGATCACAGAGGACTTGCAGTTTTATGCTTTTGTGAATGGGAATCTTTTATAATATTTTCTAGTTATCTCTAACTGGTATAAAGTTGTTGATTTTTAAAAATTATTTATTTTATTTAATTTTTTTAAGTTGTTGATTTTTGTATGTGGGAACTTTAGCAAACTATTATTTTAATTCTAATAATTTCTCTGTACATTCTCATAGATGATCCTTGGAAGACAACATATTGTCTATAGAATACATCCTTCTAATACTTATATCACATCCTTCTTTTTTGTTGTTGTTGTTGTATTGCCCTATTCACTGACTCAGACATCTTAGACAAAGTTGAATGAGGGAAAATAGTTATCCTTTCCTAGCTCTTTATTTTAATGAAAATGCCTCTATAATCACAATAGTTGATATACACACTGTTGAATCTGGCACATTTCCATCAAAATTCAAGGACTTCCCCTTATTTACCTAACTTACCAAAAGTAAATATTTAATTTATTGAATTTTTATGCACTTACCAAATATCAAATTACTTTTTTTCTATTCCAAATATTGAATATATCTAATAAATTATGATAAGTGCAGATTTTTCTGTATCTTACTGTAAAATATTTTAAAGATACAGAAAGATAGAAACAATGTAATAATCATCTGTGCACTTATTGCCTAACCTTAAAAGTCAACAGTTTGTTCTACTTGTTTTAAATTAAATATACAGATTAATCTGATGCTCACATGCAAAGTTCCCCAAACTAACTTTTTTCCTTTATTTGTCATCATCAAACACTTTGCATACCTGAGAAATTTTACATTTTTAGTTATGTTGTGTTTGTTTTAATAAACTGCCAAAATGAATTGTCTATTTTCAAATTTCTGAAACTGTAAGTAAAATTTAGTTGCCTAATTTGTTTTCTTGTCTTCTCCTTGTTCATTTTACTTTGATTTTATAATTTTATTTTGAGGGAAAGTTTGTGTAAATGTTTATAAACAATATCATGTATATTAAATAGTTTACAAGTACAGTTTATAACTCTTTCAATACTCACAAAGAGAATACACCTGTAAGCAGTATTCAGATAAAGAAACAAAATATTAACAGCACCTTAGAAGTCACCTTCATGCCATTCGAGTACAAAGGCATTGAGTGTATTATTTCAAGATCTATAGGCATTGCTTATTTTAAATTTTACAGAAAATGGTATCCTTCAGTGAATGCTCTATCTTTCACTTCCTTTATGAACTACAATTTGGTTAAGTCATCAATGATGTGTGTGGGGACAGCTTATTTTCATTGCTGCAGAGAATTCTGTTCTATATATTTATATGCCACAATGTATGCATCCATTTTACTGTTATGGGCTTTAGGTACAGTTCGGGACTATGAACATACTTATACATGTATTTTCATGGACATATGTGAACAATTTTGTTGGTTATTTATCTAGGAGGGAAGTTTTGAATCACAGCTTATCCACATTCATATTCAAATTTGGGAGACCATGAAATGGTTATTCATAGTGAATGTATCTAATTTCACACTTCTGTTGGCATGTATGAGAATTCTAGTTGCCTCATGTCCTTCAGAGCAATTAATGTTGTCTTTCTTTTTCATTTTGACCAAATCACTCTGGTAGATATGTAACAGTAAGGCAAACATACTAATAAAATATTGTAGGTTGAATTTGCTTTTCCTTTATGATTAGTGACGTTTAGTAACTTTCATTTATTTACTGACCACTAGGATATCCTCTGTTCAAATATTTTCCCATTTATTATCTGCCCTTTTATTATATTTTGGATCGAAGTCATTGTAAAATATATGTACATTACAGATATCTTTTTTTAAAAAAAGATTTTTAAATTTATTTTTATGTAGAAGAACTGAGGTACAGGCCAGAGGTGGGGGGGGTGGTGAGAGGATTCACCCGAGACAGAGTGGATAGCAGAAGAGGCAGATCTACTGAAATGCACTGCTGAGGAAATCAGTGGGCTGTTGAGACAGGAGAGGTTTGCTGCACCATGTGGGTCAGCTCCCTGACCAGGGATTGAACTTATGCTGCAATGGCTGCCGATAGCTTCATAGTGCTGATACTTAAGACCTTGTGCTTACAGGGAGGCCCATGTTGCAAATATCTTCTCTTCTCCCACTCAAGAGCTTGTCAGTTTATGTTCAAAATGAAGTTTTTGATGAACAGATGTTCTTATTTTGCTGTAACCCTATTTATCAGTTGTTTAAATTTTTTTTATCCTATTAAAAAATTTTAATTATGTCAAAGTTTTCTTGGAGATATTATCCTATATTTTCTATAGTAGAATTTTTTTTCTGCTATATGCATTCAATATTATAAATTTCTCCACAGCCACTTCATCTTCTGCATCCTACAAATTTCAACAAGTTGGGTTTTCATTTTCATTTACTTCAAAATATTTCAAAATTGTGTTGTTCAATCTCCACTTATTTTGGTACTGTCCAGTCATCTTGCTGTTACTGATTTCTCATTTAATTGCATTGTGGTCTGAGAGCTGACATTGAATAATTTTTATTTTAATATTTGTTAAATTGTACTTCATGGCACAGGTTGTGCTTTCTTTTTCTCTCTTTTTTTTAAAGATTTATTTATTTATGCACAAAAGAGCTGGGGCACAGGCCAGAGATGCGGGGGGTGAGAGGACCCACCAGAGAGAGTGGGGAACATAACAGGCAGACTGACTGAAATATACTGTGAGGGGAGCAGCGGGCAAGACAGGAGAGGTCTGCTGCGCCACCTGGGCCACTCTCTGGTTGGCCAGGGATCGAACTCATGCCACAGAGGCCTCGGATTGCCCTATTGTGCAGGTGCCTAACCCCCTGCGCCACCAGGGAGGCCCAGGTTGTCCTTTCTCTTGGTGAATTTTCTATCAGAGCTTCTGAAGAATGTATATTCTATTATTAGGCGAAGAAGTTTATAGATGCCAGCTATATCTGATTGATTGATGATATGGACAAGTCCTTAATGATTTCCTGTCTACTGGATCTGTCCAT